GCGCAACAACTCCCTGGGCCCTGGAGTCTTGGACCTCAGGCAGCCATTAATGACCAACAGGAAAAGACGTAAACAGGATGGGTCTTGGTTTAGCAAAACCCAGGATCCTTTATTGAACTAGGGACCAAGACAAGAATGAGGGTAGAGTCATGGGTTTTATATGCCAGGGCACAGGTGGAGTTTAGGTTCAATTACGAGAGAAGCAGGGGACTGCAAAGGGGTGGGTCGAGGAGGACAATCAATGGGAAGAACTAAGGTGGGAACACTACAGTCAAATTTAAACCAATGAGGGTACAGGAAAAGAAGCTTATTCTGGGGCCATTCCTTATCTGACAAAATGAGTGGAGTATCTTTTCCTAGGCTTGTGGGAGCATGCCCCACAGGGTGGAGAGGCCCTGAAGTATGGAATGGCCCCTTGATTCCATTGGGCCCCTCTGTTATATGAGTTCTTAGTTCTAAGGAGCCCTGTAGTTTCACAATGGTCTCCTTGGTTCCATGGTGCCACACAGTGTCACAATGGCCCCTTGCTTCCATGAGGCTCTGTGATGTCACAATGGTCTCATTGGTTGCATGAGGCTCAGCAGTTCCACAATGGCCCTTGAAGTATAATAATAATCTCAGTGGGTTCCCCTGCTGGTTCACGATGGCCTCCTTTGTTCCATGATGCCTCACAGTGTAACAATGGTATCCTTGGTTCCACAGAGTCAGAATGGTCCTGTGGTCTCATGGAGCCCCACAGTCCCCTTATAGAGCCCCACGGCCCCTTATGGAGCCCCACAGTGTCACTATGATCCCCTTGATTCCATGAGGCCCTACCGTGCAACAATGGTTATACCCCTTGGTTATACAAGGCCCTACATTGTCCCAACGGCCCCTTGGTTCCAGTGGATCCTGAAGTGTCATAATGGTCTCCATAGTTCCATGAGCTCCCACAATGTCACAATGGACTTTTGGTTCCATGAGGTTCAGTAGTGTAGCATGGATGCCTTGATTCCATGAGGTTGTGTAGCATCATAATGATCTCCTTGGTTCTTCAACCCTGCTGTGGCTGCCGTGTAACAATGGATCTGTGGTACCATGAGGTTCCATAGTGTCACCATGGTCTCTTTGGTTCCACAAGGCCTTGCTGTGCCACAACAGCCCCTTGGTTCCATGAGGTGCCTGGCCTCTCATAGCTGTAATAATTGAATCAATTGAAATAGGAGACATAAACCTGAAACCCTGGCAAACCGGGCACTGTGAGATGTTAATTAGCACATTCCAAAGTAAATTTAATTTGTAGCCCTGATTCTTGGTTGGTCTGAGACCTTTGCCATAAAAGGCCAAGTCCTTCGGGATTGGACCTCTGCCCTCAGGTATTCCCTGTGTTTTGTGAACCCAATAGCCTGACCTGTCTTTGGTTTCTGCCTATCCTTAGATAACATAACTTTTGGAAACTGCTTCATGGACCACGTGGATTAAAGGATATCCTGGCAGACCACTGCACCCCTCCCTTTATTATTTTAGAGCCATGCTATCATTTATCTAAGCTGGTAATGTTGTCGCAAAGGGGAGAATCCCTGAGGAATGCAACACACAGCCCCTCACAGACCCTTATGGGCCCTCATTGCTCCTCACAGTTCCCCATGGTCCCTTGTGGGCACTCACAGCCCCAGGTATGGGGCCCCTGCCAAAGGAGAAGGGGTCGGGCCCTGCTTGTTCTCCTTTTATTTCGGTCCCTTCACAGCAATGAGTAAAGAAAGGCTGAAATGGAGCCTTTCCCCAGCGTTTCCCTGAGGGTTCATTGCAGGCTGAAGCTCTGTGATGGCGCTGCCCCAGCACCAACATCCCTGCAGCCCCCAAGGCCTTTGCTGTCCCCCCGTGTCCATTCCCTGTCCCCGAGTCCCACCCAGCTCTGGCAGCAGCAGCAGCCGCAGCGCAGTGGGCGCCGGCCCGGCCCAGCCGGGGCTCCCGGGCAGGAGCAGCAGCAGCGCCGGCCCCTTCCCACCTGCTCCTGCCTCGGCTCCCAAGGCCTTTGTCCAGGGCAATTCTGGAGTACAGCAACAATCACCCACACCCAGCCCCACCCACACATAGGGCCCGCCTGTGCTGCCCTGACCCAGCCTGCAGAGACAGAAAGGGTCGGGTTCCAGCGCTGCTTTCAGCCCTGTTTTACACACCCTGAGCTGACAGCAGGAGGCTGTTGTTGCCTTTGCCTTGAGAATTGTAGATCATGGCTTCTCTTTCCCCTCTTCTGCTTGCCACTTGAATTTAATCCATAAAACTGAAAGTGCCCCTTTTAATTCATGCTATCCACAGTGCTTCCATGACAGTGAAGTCAGTACTTTTGTTCCAAGTGTGATAAATGTGATTCGTGCTAATTAAATTGTAACTATATTAACAAAATTGTATTTAGATCAATAGAAGACAATTGTCACAGAGTGAGGGGGGGGGAAATGGGTGAGACAGGGCAAAGGACATCTTCCAGATGTTGGGAGTCGAAGAAGGAGGTTGGAAGACAGTCAAACAAGAATAGTAGAAGGACATAGGTCTGACAAGCAACATCTAGAAATAGAAAGTTTCGACCTTGAAATGGGCCAAAATGGGATGATTCCAAGCATGGGACTCAAAGCCTTGCTATGGAAAACATCTGCTCAGTCACATAGTGCACCTGCGTTACCTGCAGGTTACACAGCGGACACTGACGAAGATGATGAGCCTTCATCAGAAATAAGACCCTCAAAAGGATGAGAGACCCCCTAACCCATTAGTAGAGCATGCACCCTACAACATAGTGACACAGATTTTAGGAATAGAAACTAGGAGGAGTTTTCTGGAAACTTCTGTAGCCTACAGTATATAAGTGGGATTGTTAGCCCAAATGCTTCGGAACGTGAGGAATGGCGAGCCACTCCCCATATCCCTGGTCGGAGGGGGGCCCCTCTCAGGTCGGTTTTGCTTATGCTTTATACGAACCTCAAATATACTAAATTACTTACTGCCAGATTTTGTATATTCTTAAATATATGCACTTTGATTGTATTCATCTCCAATATTTTAATTGTCATCTCCAATACTTTGATTGTATTCATTTTGTTACTATTAAAAATTTACTATTAAATTTAATCTTGTTGCTTGGTAAATTGGAAAAATAGAACATCATTCGTAACACAAGCATAAAGATCAGCAGATACTGGAATGCCTACCAGCCCCTGAGCACTCAATCAAGGGGAATTAAAGCC